TTGCAGGAAGTGTTAAATCCTGAAATCTTTTCAACTTACTCCTCAGAAGTACTTGGGAGTAGGACTTAATTTTTAAAATGTCTGCTTGTAGTGTTGTTTCCTTGCAAAAAGCAGGAAGAACTAGATTTCATAATGCTGATATTTGAAAGAGAAACTGTAAAGAGTGAGGAGTAGAATATGACAGTTCTTTTTTTGAAGCAGCCTACAAAGCAAACTAGCTTTTTCTTTAACCATTTTCTGAAGGGCATAAAATACATTAGAATTGTCAAGGCTTTACCCTCACTAAAAATCCAGCAGAGTGTGAGAGGAAGGAAGGAGTTAGCTGAGTCTAACGAATGAGAGGATTTTAAGTAACTTGTCCCCTGCAGATGTTGCTTGGTCATAGTGAAACTTTTGCAACAAACCAGAAGTGACTGCTGTAGATGAAATGGAGGGAGCTGCAGAGGGCCTTAATGCTAGTAGGGGTAATGGCAGGACATGGTTACAGCTTTTAAGCTTTCACTTCACCTCATTTGAGACCACGTAGCTTCCTGGTGCCCTGCTCTGCTGGTTCTCTTTAGGCAACACTCTGTCTGCAGACACTCCCATGTCAGCCTCCTCCTTTGCTCTGTGTTTGGTTCTGGTCTGAATTACTTTCAGATTCACAGACATGTGAAACTTTCAAATTTGAGTTGTGAACTTGAAGCTCCTTGAGATCTAAAGTTATTTTATATTGGCTTGTGGAGCTTGGAGATAGGATTTTTATTGCTTTGGTTTGAGAAAAGGTGCCCAAGAAACTTGGGGAAAGCTTAATCTGTTAGCCAACCCTCTTGAGGTTGTTTTTTTGTTTTGCTAAGTGCACGTATGCATTAAACAGTCATTCTGGTTTTTTTATATGCACAAACATTTCCACTTAGAATTTAGGAATTTGCATTACACTCATGTGAAGGAATAAAAACAGGCCTTCAGCATTGGAAAAAATGGTGATGGCAGAATCGTTAGCAGCACTAAGAAAGTCAGAATGAGGAAGCTCCTCATCTTCACCTTTTTCCTCTTGCCTTCTAACCATCAGATCACTCAACACCAGCCAGCCAGTCTCCTCACTCCTCCAACCCCAGCAGCTTGCCAAGCTCCCCTCCAACCCATAATCACAATTCTGTTCCCTTCTCCAACTTTGGACCTATTGGGACTCCAGACAACAGAGACAGAAGAATCGCAGACCGCTGGAAAACAGATAAGCCAGGCAAGTGCTGCATTCCAGGCCTGGAAGAAGCCAGCTGTCGGCGTTTGTTTTGCAATAGATTTGTTTGAATTTGTCTCTCTTCCCCGTTTCAGCGATGGGAGGGTTTGGTCTGGACTACCTCCCAGCCACGTCCTCATCCTCAGAGAGCAGCTGGCACCAGTCCAGCGCTCCCAGTGGCACCTGGGCAGCCCAGGGCCCCGCCATGGAGGACTCCTCAGCTGTGCTCATGGAGAGCCTAAAGGTGTGTTGAACTGAAGCTGTGCTCGGGCGTGGGTGCTTGCCTATGGAAAGGGTGTGGTGTTATGGGATACAGGCAGTGTGCACTGCGTCCGAGTTCACTGGGACCTTGAAGGTTTCTTCCTGCAGATCCAGAGCAGGGTGGGAGGTGTGACCAGTGCTAGGAGATGTCACAGTTCTGCAGTTCTGTTGTTGAATATTTTGTGGAGCAAGAACAGGCTGGCAGAACTGGGAGAAAAATAACATTTGCTTTGACCAGTCTAAAATTAGTGATTGTTAATGTGCGACAGATTTTTCCGTTCACGAGGCAAGGGTAATCTTCAAGGGGAGCCTCTCTTCAGAAGGCCTTCTCTTGAAGTCTGGGTAACTTTCATGACAGGACAGGTATGAGTTGCAAAGGGAAGAGAGAACACAGAACAGTTTCTGAGAGAAAAGGTCTGCCTCAAACCAGGAGGTGCTAGTGTTGACTGTTTGTTTTTAGTCCATCTGGTCCAGTTCCATGATGCACCCTGGACCCTCGGCCCTGGAGCAGCTGTTAATGCAGCAGAAGCAGAAGCAGCAACGTGGACAAGGCGCCATGAACCCGCCGCATTGAGAACGAGGTGGCAACCCTTGCAAACCAAGGCTCCATAAACCATGGCATGTTGGGTTTGCAGGACTGGCCCACACAGTCCTGTGCAGGTGGCAGCCCTCTCTTCTGTTCCTTGCTGTCAGGAGGGCGTAAGTGCTCCACCAACCCACTGAGTGTGCACAAAATGTCTGCAGTGCAAGCAAACAACATCAGGAACTCTCCCAATCCCTGGGCCCTCTGGAGGGAGAGAGGAACTGCTGTTTGTCTCACTCAGTGACCCGATATCACCGCCTCTCACCTTCTCCATCGTGCATGTCCCCAGCCACATGGGAAGCAAAAGCTGAGAACGAAGGGCAGATGGGAGAAGCTAATGAGAACTTCTCAATCCTTTTCCTCTCTTTGGGGATATAAAATAGGAATCCATTAATGATTGCTTTGCTGACTGAGAATGTAGTTGAAATTACTCCTAAACATCTTTATTACTATCTCAGTAGTAAGATCACACTGAATTCTTCCGTACACAGATGTGCTTTGTAGTCAGTGTGTAGCAGTGAAAGCCCCAGCTGCTGCTCCAGTCAGAGGTGGTTGGTGGCAAGGTGGGGCTCTATCTCCTGGGCTAGCAAAGGAGTTTCATGAAGGAGAGTCTGGCACTTGACACCACTTCACCTTTCACTCAAAGGCTTTGGCCGGCCCACGGGTGGGTTAGAGATTCCAGCATGAAATGCCCTCCTCTCAGTAGGTGTTTGAGCTGTAATGGGTGACGTGGGGCATTGCAGCACTCTGCTGGACGAGCAAGTTAACTGCTATGGGGTTTTAAATTAATGTTTGATTCCTGTACATTTTACTGTAGCAAAGTGGCTAGCCCCGCAAAGGGCAGGCTGCTCTGTGCATTCACAGCCTGACTCATTTTAATAGGTAGGTAGAAAGCTTTCAGTGTTTTTCATTTTTTCTTTCTCTCCCCATCCTTCCATCTTTGCTGGATGCTAGTAGTTTTATCGCCAATGTGCAACATCTTGCAGAAAGTAATCAGGAGTCCAGCAGGACTGGGTAAAGACGACAGTCAGCCTGGACAGTGTGGAGTGTACGAACCCCACAGGCATACACCAGCTCTGCAGAAACCCGTCCCCCGCCCTCCCAGCAGCAGCCCTCAACTTCCAGTTCTAGAAGGAGATCTGAGGTGCCACGGACACGCGTGTGTAACCCGCGCACGGAAGAAGCATAGTGCTGTTCGCATATGAAAAGGTGCAGAAGGGAAAAGAAAATGTTTTATTTGCTATTTATTTAGGGGGAAGGAAGACTGGAAACGTCATTAAAGAAAAAGACAGCATTTTTGTTAGGTTTCCCAGGGAAGCGATCTCAATGTCCGTTTGCTGTGTTTAGCAATAGGGGTTTGTGTGATGATTCAGGATCTCTGGGCTGTAAGTCAGCTGCAAAGCAAAGCACACGCAGGAGCTTAAGTGACACTGGAGTCCGGGCGGCCCCAAAGAACGTAAAAAGGGAAAACTGAGGCCCAGTACCCTTGTGAGGGCGTGAGCAGCTCCCCCACGTTCTCCACCTTCGCAACATCACTGTTCTTTGTTGCATTTTGAAGATGTATTTCCTTTTAAAAAAGTCCAAAAAGTGAAGTTTCCACCCAATGCTAATACTGACTAAGCTCCCTTCCCCATCCCAGCCCCTCAGTTTGTGTATTGAGCCGTGCCCCCGGCAGCTGCGACATTCCAGTGTTAGAAGTGCCGCTGACTCTTGCACCTCAGCGAGCCGACCAGGTTCACCACCTCACTCCTGGCAGTGCCAGGTCCCAACGCACTGCTCCACTTGTGCATGAGAACCCGGTGTCAGGAACACGGCTGGCTCTCGGCTGGGACTCCCATCCCGCCCTCTGGCGCCCGGGGGAGCGAGGGGAGGGACCCCAACAGAAACTGGTTTGTGTCGTAAGCTTTTTTTGTGTTTTTTGTCTGTCTGTGCAAGAACTGCAGCTGCTGAAATCAGCTTTGCCTTTAATTAAACCATGTTCTCTCCATCCGGGTCTGTGTGTTACGTTTATTTCCCCATGGAATTCAGCTGCAGGCTTTGAAAAACACGTTATTTTTCTGGAGAAATTGGAAGAAGGTTCAAACTTTAATTTTTTTTTTTTCCAGTTTGAAAGAAAAATAAATTGCAGAGATTCTGGCTTGGGCTCAGTGCAAATAATTGGATCGTGGTTTTGTGCTGTGCTGTACAATGTGTTTTATGTATGGAACCAAAAGGCTGGGATGGTAGCAGCTTCCAGAGCTTAAATCTGATTAGAGCACAGGCAGCAGGAGCTGAAGGACACACAGCCTTCTGCTGTGGCCCTGCTGTAAATCAGGATGGCACCTGCACTGCTCCAGTTTTGAGAGGTCATGAGGTTGTTTTCTTTTTTTTTTTTTTAAATCCAGAGTAAGTTCCTTTTAAAATAAATATGAGATTTAGGTAATGGGGTTGTATAGGATAAGTGTTGACTGGTGCAGGGTGAGGCTGCATGGTGTCTCTTATTTCAGCTCTTGAGGCTAGCAGTGATGTTTTAAGGAAGTAGATTCTCTTTGCAAGTTCCTGGTCCAAAGTTTCCCGAGCTCCCCAGTCTGTTTTTCCCTGCTTTTCCATTGATTTTCACAGAACCACAGTATGGCCTGAGTTGAAAAGGACCACAGTGCTCATCTAGTTCCAACCCTCTGCTATGTGCAGGGTCTCCAGTCAGCAGACCAGGCTGCCCAGAGCCACGTCCAGCCTGGCCTTGAATGCCTGCAGGGATGGGGCATCCACAGCCTTCTTGGGCAAGCAGCTGATTTACCTTGTGGAAGCTCTGCCCAGGGCAGGCGAGTGGGGTAGAGCTGCTGCTACCAAGCCTGATGGTAACCACAGTCCTTGGGACTGACTGTGCTCCTAGCAGGGAGATTGCTAGTGACCTTTTTTTTTAATGTGTTTTATACATAGCAACACAAAAGGTAACACACACACACACAAAAATGAAGATTTTAATACATGTAGCAATAATATTCTAGGTCTGTTTTCAGATGCAGTGATTAATGTGGGAACTTCTTAGTTGCAACATTTGAATTCTTAATTTCTTTCAGTGTCCATGTCCCCTCACACTTCTGAAATCAGATCTCTGGGTCTTTAGTGTTACCATCACAAACAAAAGCAGAGGGGAAGATGCCTATCTTGCCATTGCATTGCCCTTCCAACCAGTCTTCATTCACTGCAAGATAAAATTGACACCATTTTTGTCACCCTAGAGATGTGCAGGAGCACGATTACCCATTTTAAGATCATCTGCAGGTAAATATCCTGGTGGAGAGGTGACAGGAGGCGGGGAGGAGGAGTGCAGAAGAGAGAGACAGCAAAGTTTATGAGGTAAGAAAAACCTCAAAAGAAAAGCAGTCAGGAAAGGGTGCCAAGTGAGAGGAATTGGAATGACAGCGCTCTGGGCATGGTGCAGGGTCAGAAGGAAGCAAGAATACACTGATCAGCGAGCTTGAAGACAGCTGAAGTAAAACTCTCCCATCTTGCAATTGTTAGGACAGCAGGTTGTGTGTCCTTTCCTTTGGCTTCCACCTGCTGTCCCTGTGATGTTTTCTGACTGGTCTGAAGCCTTTGCATTCGATGCAAACCTTCTCACCCCATTTTCCACCTGGAGGTGGCAGACTGCAGTTTGAAGGAGCAGCATCCTATCGGCACAGGCTGCTCCATGTGTTTGGCACCTCGGAGCCAGGCCCATGCTTTCCCTCCCATCTCCCGCAGTGGCCGGAGCACAGTTACCTTTGGATAAAACAAGTATCACATCTCCAGCCTGAAACTCCAGGTCTTCAGGCTGGATGGCCTCGTAACTGTACTGTGCTACCACTTGGGTTGGACCCGTCTCTGCTGTTGCCTTCTGCGACTCCTCTGGTTTGCTGTCAAGTAAGAATCCCTCTCCCTAGGGCAGGAAAGAAGCTGGTGAAGTCACCCCGTGGCTTCTGCTTTGCACCAGAAAGTGGCAGATGAGCTCTGCTTAGGCTTCAGCCTAAGTGAGCCCCTTGCCAGCACCAGCAGAAGAGCTGGTCGCTGCTGCTGACCTCTGTGCAGTCGCACCACACCGTCAGGCACCGATCCTTGCTGTGGTTCCATGCTGCCTCTAGGTTCTGCGTGCTCAGAGTCACCAGCTCTCTGCTAACTGCAGGCTTGTACCTGGGCACCGGAGGAACAGGTAAGGGGACAGCCACAAAAACTCAGCTCCTGCAGCAGGCAGTTCTCACCTCAGCATTGTGTGCTCAGGCTGCAGCTCCAGCTTGTCGCAAACCAGGTCCAGGAGCTCCTTGTAGGACAGGTCTGGCTTGACTTGCATGGCAACTGTGTATTTGTAATGCACCTTGAGAACGTAGGGCTTGGGGACGGCCGGTTCGGTTTCCTGCAGGTGGGGAATTGAGGCGTCAGGGATCTCCCTGCTCCCACAGCATGGGGAGCTTGGCTATGGGCAGGGAAAGGAACTGGGGCATAGGACTGCTGAGCGACAGCTGAGCTCAAGAAACCATCTCACTGAATTCTGGCAGTCCTCAATACTTCTGGAGCAGGCCACCAAAGCCATGCTGCACGTGTGGCTGGTTGCCTGCCCTGGGTTTGACCTGGCAGTGAGTGCAGCAATGCACTGGGCACCTAGTGACCGCAGTGTGGCTTCCCAGTGACCGGGCTCAAGGTGTGCCCCCACCCCTCTGCACTTGTTCTCATTTGGGATACTGCTTCTCCTGGAAGAGACCTCCCAAGCTGTACGTAACGCGGATCTGGGCTCTGCCTTCCACCACAGCACAAGGTCTTACCTTATTGGCTTCTCTCTGCTGCGTTGATGCAACAGGAACGAAGTCTGAGGAGGCAGGATAAGGTAGGTCAACAAGTGGAACAGCATAAGCATTACTGCTGTGGGCTTAAATGTGTTTCCAGATCCTCTCAGCCCTTCAACACCCACTGTCATCTACAGCAGCACCTCCCCAGCCCTGAAGCCAGCTGTGGTTGCTCGAACAGATCAGTATCAGCTGCAATGAGGTTCTTCTGTGGGATTCTTCAGTAACCACTGAGAAAAGAGGTTAGGGCTCTGCCTTGCCTGCTGTATTTCAGGTGCTCACATGGTAGGGCCTGTTCTGTGTTTGTAGGAATTGTAACTTTAGGTGGGATGCAGTTCCTCAATGAGCTTTGACATACCAGTGCATTTGCAAGCACAATGATCTATCTTGCCCACTGTCACACGGCTGCTTCTGGCAGCTAATAACCTTAAATATGGGAATTTGCAGACAAAACAGGAGCCCTAAGCCACACTTTCAGCTGGCAGTGCCTGCCTTGGTTCACCATGTTCAAGCATCTGCGTGGCCCTGGTGCCACCACCCCTGCGCCAGGTGCTGAGACACACCAGCCACATCTCCTTCCTGTAGCTCCCTAGAACTTGGCCTAGCACTAAGATAATCCCAGCTGCTCTGCTTTACGGAGAAGCCTGTAATTCACATTCTGCTCTGGGTCTTATGCAAGCTGGGTCACTTGCCCTGCTGCTTTCCCTAGGCCCTTTTTTCCATTAGCTGCTGCCCTAATTAAAAGCAAAAAGGGGACCTCGAGCTTTATTGTGTTCCATCCTCAGTGCTGCAGTTGCAGTATTGTCTCCTCTTTTAATGCCCGCACCCCAAAAGAAGCAGGGATGGCCCCCAGCCCTGGTTCTCCATAGGACACAGTATAACAAGAGACTGTCCCTACAGCTTCCCCCGTTCCTTCCCTCCTTACACTGACCTGGTGCTGGCCGCCGGGGCCTTGGAGCAGTGCTGCTGGGTGGCTCAGGGATGTCAAGCTCAGGTGGGGCTTCGTCCTGTGCCAATAGGAAAAGGGCAGCACTGGCACTCAGCATCCCTAGGGGAGCAGGTACAGTCCCCGGGGTGCTGCTGCCTTGGGGACCCCCTCCTGCCATTCGAGGCAGGAGTCCTGGGGCTGAGTTCTGCCTACTGTCCATTGATTCGGGGTGGAACAGGGCAGTTCTGGTCTCTGTGAGAGCAAACAAGGACAGTTTTCAGAAGACAGTGCCATTTAGGAAGCAGTGTCTGATGAGTATGTCCAGACCTGTTTTCTCAAGGTGTGTTTGGAGTTTCGAATCAGTGAATTGCAGGGTGAATTCACTGCCCCTTCACCTCCCCAGTGCTACCACCTCCCTCCCCAGGGATCATCAGCACGGTGTCTGCACAGATTTTGCAGGCTCTGAGCTTGTGCTGAAATGGCCATAAAACCAGGAGTCCCCCAGCATTGAAAGGAAGAAAGGTTTGAGGTGTGGGTCCTGCTGGGTGATCTATGTGATGTCCTGGGGCCAACAGCTTCTCCTGGGCTCCTTACCTGGACGTGCAGCTTGTGCTGGAGCTCCATGGGCTCAAGGAAGTTGCAGGGGACAATCCCTTTCTGCAGGGAAGAGACAAGGGAGGAGCATTGTTGGGACTCAGGGGTTAGTGGCTGCCTGGGGTGAAAAGGTCGTCTAGTTTCAGCCCTGTGAATAGCCTTGAATCATCTTGAGATGATTACTTGGCCATCCAGGAGACTGAAGATAAGGGAATGATTTCTGCGTGGTACTTATGATGGGCAGCTTGGGCATACGTGGTCAGGCAAGCAAAGCAGCACATCTGGCCCCTGCCTGGTAGGAGCAACAGGAGCAGGACACCAGGAGGTTCCTTCTACCAGCCTATAGCCATCTGCCCTCAGACTTCAATACAGGATGCAAGGAAACTGGCTTCAGAAACCCCATTATTGCCCTACCAGTCCTCTGTAGTCCCTTTGTGCCAGCAGACTCCCATACCTTCCCGTTAAACATCACCGTAGCCCAGTTGTCCTTCTCTTTCTTCAGGACAAAGACGATGTTTCCAGGCAGGACCTGCAGCTCCTCAGCGGTTTCAGGTATGAACTCATACAGGACGCGGTGCGGCTGCCCCTCAAGAGCCCTGGAATGGAAGCCAGCATCATGTCAGGAGGGGACGTGATGCCGCTGCTTTACCTCACAGGGGGCCTGAGCTCTGCTCCCTCATTTCTCTCCTCCTCTCTCCCACTGATTCTGAACACTCAGCTGGATGGTGCAGGACATGGCTGCACCAGGCTGTTTGTTAGCAATGCTGCCGATGTTTCATCCGACCTACCTGAGGATTTCCGGTGTCTTGGGCCTGGGTGGAGGCCCAGAAGCCTGTGAACAAGAAGACAGAAGGAAATCCGTCATAATCTGGAGGATTTGGGTTGCTTTGCAGAAACGTCCTGCAGTCCTTTCCCTGCCTGTTGTCCTCCCTGCGTGGGTCCCTCCTTCTCACACTGGTATCAGGTCATTAGTTTCCTTCTCCACTCAGCCCTTATGAATCTTACGGGAGGGTTTGTCACCTCCCCGAGCTCCCAAAGGCCCACCCATGGCTCAGGGCCTGGCTTCCCCATAACCTCAGCTCAGACATGAGTGGGCTTGGGCTGTGACTTCTGGTGAAGGAAGCAGCTGGGATGTGGGAGTAGCTTCCTCCTCACCCTGGCCGTGGTAGGAAGTTTGGGGTGGTGACGCTGCTCTTTGCTCACCACTCTCATCCAGATGTCGCCCACCCCCAAGTATGCCCAAAGTTCTGCTTGGTATCCCTGTGTATGCTTGAAGCTCTCTGCACCACATGGACTGCAGGGCATTGATTCCTTACCTGTGGTTGGAGGGGAGCAAATCCTGAAAAACTGTCCTTGTCCACCACGGATGCCACCACCTACAGCCAAAGGAAGACATGCTGTGACTTGGTGCTCCTCTTAGACCTCTGATCTCCGACATCCACTGTCCTCCTTTGCTTCCATCCAAGTCAACCTCTTTGGGTGTGGGTGCTCTGGGTTTGCTTTCCCTGGCAGCGCTGGCACTGGGGTGTCCATTCTGCCTCCCAGGACCTGAGCTTGAGGGTGCACCCTTGTGCTTGGACCTTCCACAGTAATGTGGGAGAAGCCCTGCTCAATTGTCTGAGCTGCTTCAGGCTGAGCAGAGCCAGTACTGGAGGTTACTTGCGGGTGTCAGATTTTAAATAATTCCTTTTTTTTTTTTTTTCTTCCCTTGTGCACCAAATATCTTGACTTGGTTTGAAGCTCCAGTGGGACCTTCCCATCTCACCACTCAGTGACCATCCCTCACTTCTCATTAAGGAAAGTGAAAATGGGCCATGCTGAGCCACACAAATAAAAGGGTGTTTCTGTGAGCTTAACTCTGCTATTCCTACATAGTCCTGGAGCCTGCAGCATCCCCAAGCTTTGGGCTGGCTTTGCATCTCTGTGCTCAGCAAGCACAGCTCAGTTCTTGGTGGCTGTAAGGCAGAGGGCTATCGGCATCTCTCTTCAGCCTGCAGACGTGGCTTGCATTAATGTTCCTTTCTTACCATGGCTTTTCCCAGGTAGTCCTTCTTCTCCAGCTGAGCAACTTGCTTTTCGTTTGGTCGAAACAGCTTCCCTGTGGGAATTGCCACTGGTTCATAGAGCTTCTGCTTCTGCAGCAGGGAGAAATCAAAGAGCCATTAAGGTTGGAAAAGCCTTTTAAGATCATCTAGTCATGGACCTCCATAGGCAGGCACTGAGCTGAGACCTGCTGCTCCTCACCAAGATGGCTTCCATTGCCCTGTCAATCTTGTTGTGCTGGGGCTCACTCTTTGAGCTCATTGCCAGTGTCAGGTGCTCCTCAGCTTTCTTCCAGTCCTCCGTGGTGGCATACACCAGTGCGATGTTGTAAAGGATCTGCAGAGGGATGGGAGCCAGAGAATGGTCTTTTAGAGGCACTAGACCCTTGCTGTGGGTGTTTTTTGCTACCCTGATGACATCTTGGGTAAAACCAGCTCTCTATTCCTACTCTAGCATGCTTGATTTTTTTGCAAGGCATGAATTGTAGAATCCTTCAGGTTGGAAAAGACATCTCAGTTCACCAAGTCCATCCCCATCATGCTCACTAACCACATCCCTCAGTGCCACATCTTGGACACCTTCAGGAATGGTGACTCCAACACCTCCCTGGGCAGCCTGTGCCACTGCATCACCACTCTTTCAGAGGAGAAATGTTCCTAATGTCCAACCTGAACATCCCCTGGCACAACTTGAGGCCATTCCCTCTCATCCAATTGCAGTTACATGGGAGCAGAGGCCAACCCCACCTCACCACAGCTTCCTTTCAGGCAGCTGCAGAGCAGTGAAGTCTCCCCTGAGCTCCTCTTCTCCACTCTGCCCCGTCCCATTCCCTCGGCTGCTCCCCGTCGCGCTGTGCTCCACACCCCACGCAGCTCCTTGCCATTCTCTGGACATGAAGAGTCCAGTGAAAAACCATTGGGTGCATTTCCTCTGGATTTTGTTGACCAAGACTGAAACACCGTTTGGTTTCCATCACCTCACAAGCAAAGAGCCTGTAGCGCAGCCCCAGGATCTTGTAGTCGATGAGCTGGTTGCCTCGCAGCTGGGCCAGAGCCTCCTTGAAATCCTTCATGGCCATTTCATAGCTGGGGAGGAGAAGACGAGGTAGAGGCTCCCAAGGCCCCTCCACCTCCTCCTGATGGTGTTCTGGTAGCCCATGTAAGCACTTCACCTCAGGGCTGAGTCCTCAGCCCCCCACACTGCCCACGGCTGCTCAGCCAAGAGCCACCAGCTGAACAGGGGGGTAAAACCGAAGCCATGCACTCACTTGTGTCTCTTGTAGAAGACGTTTCCCCGCTGGAAGTAGGCCACGGCCAGGTGCTTGTCACAGCTGATGCTCTGGGTGAGCGCCTGCAGGGAGCAGGGCAAGAGGAGTGAGAAGGGAACATCTGCAAGGAGAACTGGGCGACGTGTCCCTGCAGCCTTGGGAGCTGTGCCTTACCTCCTCTGCCTCGGCCAGCTGCCCCAGGACCAGGTGGGTGCAGCCGATGTTGAAGCAGATTTTGGCCGGTGGGTTCTGGACGGCGGTGAAGGCCTTCAGGGCTGCGTGCCACTCCTTGCCATCCGCAGCACACACCCCCTCCTGCCACAGCCGGATGGTCTCCACCAGCGACATGATGGACGCGGTGCGCCCAGCCTTCCCCGCGGTGTCTGCCTCCCTCTCCCAGCCCCTCCCGGCTGCACGTCTGCCTTCCCACAGCCCGCCTGGTGTCACAAACCCACCAGGAAGTGGCCCTGGTGGTGTCAGAGCAGCGTGGCCCCGAGATGGGGAAGTGGAACTGCCCTGCTGCTACGGGCTTCCACTCGGGGCTGTGCCTGCATTGCAGCTTCTCCTCCTCGGGTTGTGCTTCTGGGGGCTTTGTGTGGGGGTGCCAGCATTGGAGGGGTTTATTGGCTCGAGGTTGGCCTTGCAAAGCTGTTTGGTGAGTGCTGCAGCCCATCATAAGCGTTTCGTAAGAATCTGAAAGCTGTCAGCCAGACTTTGCCCTTGTGTATTTATGCAGGCTTCCCCATAGATAATGCCAACAGCAGGAGGGAGAGTGCGGAGGAGACTTCTGCTCTACTGCTCAGAAGAAACCTGATCTGCTGAGGGCTGGGTTTGAAGAGTGTGATAGAGCGCATCTGCAGACCTCCGTGCACCCTCATGGCCTCCCTGCAGGGCTCTGCTCTCACACTCCCATCCAGCAATGGTTCCCCCCTGTTGGGGTGCTGCCCTGCTGGCTGGGCTATCTGCTAGCCCAGGTTGATCCCAGAACTGGAGCCAGCGATGCGGGGGAGGATCTGAGATCCCTCCTGTGGAAAGTGCTCATTTCACCTGCATTTTGCACACGGATGAGATCCGAAGCACAGCAACTGCACGTAGCAACTGCTCCTGATAATTTTAACCTCACATACAGCTTCCGATTTTGAAGCTGTGATAAGCACTGCCTTTCTAGTAACAGAGCAAGCCTCTTGTTCCCCTTTCTCTCAGTTTAGTAGAAGGAGAAACCTATTTCTTGTCTGAAGTGAGGAATGTGGATGTTACCATCTGCGTTGTGAGCCTCTTGAAGCACAAGCACAAATCACTGAGAGCTGGTAGGAATGGCACAGGACTGCCTGAAATCCAGCGACCGTGCAGTAGTCGCCTTTAAGTTTGCACTGCAACAGTATGCATGGTTTTATCATCATTGCTGGAGTGAAGAGACACAAAAGGAGCCCAGATCAGCACTTCCTCGTGTCCTACATCTGCATCTCCAGGAACAGGAGTGTGCCCATCATGTGACGCTGCTCTGGAGGCAGATGGGTGAGCAGGGCCAGCATGATGCACCGTGCTGTGATGTGAGCACAGCGTGCTCCTGAGCTCACTGCCCCTTCCCGTTTCAGTCAGCAGCAGTCAGCAGAAGAGAGGCCTTCCCTCAGCTCTGCCCTCCTACGCTGCGCCTGCAGGCAGGCTCATTTCGCGCATCGCTGAGCACACAGGAACAAAATAAACACATCTTTATAACCGTTCCTAAATACTTCATAGCATACCCTGAGGGGAATCTGGAAAACCTGAAGATTGCTCTTCCGCTGCCTTTGTTAGTCCAATGCCACACAGAGGGAGCCGGTCCACTGAGACTTTGATTGGTTTTGGAAAGTTGATTACAGGTTCATCCCCTGGAGATGCCAGAGATGAACACAATCCCAATCACGAGATCAGGACTTTCACCCCCTGCAACTACCCCGCCTCACTGTTTTTCTCCTTTAGGTAAGGCATACAGCATCAGTGGTTGAGAACATCACTCCATGGTTCAAGTCTGAGTGCAGGCAGGGACACCTCTAGCAATCCTGGTTTGGAACATCTCCTGTTGTTTAAATGTCTTGAAACAACCTCAGATTTTCTTGTATACCACGTATTGCCATGACTTGCTTAAGAAAGCAAGCTTAGCAAGATAAATAATGGAGGGGAGAAGCTCTAGGGCTTGCTTTTTATCTTTGGTCAGCCCTTGCATTCAGCTGCCTGCAGAATTAAAAAGAAGTTAGCCTCAAGATATTTCAGACTCCAAGTAAATATTCAGTGACGATTTATTTGTCTGGTCTTTATTACAAAAAAAAAAAAAAAAAAAAAAAAAAAAGCAGGTATCAAAAAACAGCAAAGAGTTTACAAGTCCCCCAACCGTTTCACACAATGGAACTGTTGTAAAATGGCAAATGTAAAACTGTGTATCTCAGTCCTGGCCCTAACCTTCAGTGGTGAGCTGTGGGCTGGGATGCCCAGGGCTTCCTTAATTCCTTTTTAAAATACTCCTCTTTATTTTGGAACTTTTATTTGTCTACTAATGCGCTGTGGTACAGCAGGAATGTCAACTGTCTGGTAAGCCTCAAGACTACGTCCCTTTTCTTCTCCTGTGTAGGATCTTTAGTTCCCAAAATAAAAAGCTTCCTGGACTGGGCTCCTGTGTAAATGGACCTTTAAATTCTAACATACGAAGCACAGGAAGGACAGCTCCACCCTCGCTGTGATCTGCCTGCTGTTCACCTGGCCTCTGACTGAGCACAGCACGTCGGAACAGGCCACGAGGTGTGAGGTTAAGGAAAATACCTGGCTTACTGGAATGACGATCGGTCAGAGGGAAGCTGCTCTTTTCTGTCCTACTCACTGCTGTAGGCTCAGAGGCTGACCAAAGGAAACATGGTCCAGTTAGCAACGTTTGCAGCTGCCCCACTTTTCAAATATTTATCTTACATCAGAACACTGCTTGGCTAGCAAAAAGGATTAAGACATTGCCCTACGTCCCTCAGCACTTGTGTGGAAAGTCAGGCCCAAATCTGCCATAATTATACACAAATACAAATCAATCTAAACATGTTGTCAATGTAGCTATGCGTGTCACTGAAATGCTCGAGTACCAAATAGTCCTGTTAGAAATAAAATTGCACCTTCATAATTTTCCAGAGTTTAACAAAAAGAGATCACGATATGCATTACTTGTCAGGTACGAAAGAAGCAGCGAGAAGGCAAGCTGAGAGACAGGTGCTGCCCACGGGGCAGCAATGGCATCTGGGTGGGTTTTGCACCAGCATTTCCCACACCACGGAGAGCAAACAGCCATTTGCTGCTGGAGTTAAACCGTTTTCCTGGCAGTCAACACACGGACGATGGACCCCAATCCACCAGCAGCCAGTGCCTGAGAAGAGAAACATGGCAGTGAGCAGCAAGGCCTGGCTACAGACCCAACCAGCTGCTGGTTGGACTTCCCCACTGTATACAAATAAGCACCTTTCAGCAGCTCAAACCCAGAACAACAACAGGGAAGCATGGCTGCATTCATTTTAGGGACAGCAAGTTAACAGGCTTTTGTTTCCCTGCATAACTAAGCTGCAAATCTGGCTTCCCTCAAGGAAGGAAATTCTATTTCCATCCCCTTGAACCACTATGTTGAACTATTTTGTTTGCCCCAGTCTGACTTAAAAAAATACACATAAATCAAACTCTAAATGCAGAATTGTTACTTAAGGAATCAGAAGAATGAGGAAGAACAACAGAACTCTGAACGTGCAGGACTGCGCACTCCTCACTGCGGGAAACGCAGCACTTGGCTGTTGGCACACTGTGGTTATGGACAACTCCGAGCTGGTCAGAAGGGACAGGTGAGGAAGAAGGGAGGTGTTCCCTCTCTCTATCATGAGAGAAACAGAGTGCTCATCACGAATGGCTACAGACAAGTTGAAAGCTTACAGGTGGGAGTTAAGAGACCAAGGAAACAAAGGGAGCAAGAAGAAAATGCACTGGCAAAGGAAGCAGGGACAGGTACTCCGGGAGGAGTACAGGGATGCTGCTGGGCTGTGTAGGGGTGGGGTCAGGATGGCTGAGGCCCAACTGGAAGTGGGCTTGGCAAGGGACACAAAGAACAAGAAAGTGTTCTACAGGTACATCAGCCAGGGACACAGATGGTCTTCCTTAGGGGTCAGTACTGGAACTGGTGTTCTTTAATATCTTCATCAGTGGGACGGAGTGTGCCCTCAGCAAGTCTGTGGGTGACACCAAGCTGTGTGGTGCAGACAACGTGCCAAGGGATGAGATGCTGTTCAGAGAGACTTAGGCCAAGCAGCAGGCCCAGGAGAGCCTCATGGGGCTCAACAAACCCAAGTGCAAGGTCTTGCAACTGGGTCATGACAACCCCCACCATCAGTGCAAGCTGGTGGATAAAGGATAGAGCGCAGCCCTGATGAAAAGGTCTTGGGGGCTGTAGGGAAACTGCTAGGTCACAACATGAATTGGTGATTGAGCACCTGGTTGAAGGGGTGTGGCTGGGCCAGGGAGAACAACCAAATTGTTTGCACCTGTGCTTCCCATGTGATCAGAAGGGGTGGAGCCAGGGTGGATCCACCCTGAGCTCACATAAGGGCCAGGAATAGAAGGGTGAGTATCTCTTAGCCTTGGGTTACTTCCTGGGGGATGCTGAGTACTTGGAGAGACTTTTCTCCAGTTGGGTGAGTTTAACTCTTTATATGGTATTAGCCTACCTACAAATACTTCACTTGCTATAACTAAGAACCTGTCAGAAGCAATTCTGCTTCTTCGTAAGTCAAAATGGATTACTGGTGGATGGCAGCTGGGCATGAGCCACTCATGTGCCCTTGCAGCCCACGAAGTCAACTGTATCCCTGGCTGCACCAAAAGCAGCATGGCCAGCAGACTGAGGGAGGTGATGCTGCCTCTCTACTCTGTGCTGGTGAGACCTCATCTGGAGTACTGGATCTAGATGTGGAGTCCTTGGTACAGCAGAGACATGCTCCTACTGGAGCACATCCGGAGAAAGGCTACAGAAATGACCTAAGGGATGGAACACCTCCTCTGTGAGGGCAGGCTGAGAGCTGTGGCTGTTCAGCATAGAGAGGAAAAGGCTCTGGGGAGACTAAGAGAAGCATGTCACTATCTAAAAGAGGGCTGTAAGAAAAAAGGGGACACTTCTTAGCAGAATCTGTTTTGACGTGATGAGAAAATGGTTTCAAACTAAGAGGGGAGGTTAAGACTGGATTTAAGGAAGAAGATTTTTACGATAAGGGAGGTGAAGCACTGACACAGGTTGCCCAGAGATACAGTGAGTGCCCCGTCCCTGGAGACGCCCAAGGTCAGGTTGGGCAGGGCACCGATGGAGCTGTAGGTGTCCCTGTTCAGTGCAGGGAGGTTGGAGCAGACGGCCTTTAGAGGCCCCTTCCAACTCAAACAATTCCATGATCCTGTGAACCTATTTTAGTTTCACCAGGCAAAGGGTGGCTCTTACCAGGCTCAGTGAGTGTGCCCAGGACCCAGGAACCTGTTCCACAAAAAACCCAGGGGAACAGCACATTCTATACACACACCTTCTCATGCCACTGCAGCAGCACAGCACTGCTGTTGTCAGAGGGGCTCTCAAAGCCTTTGTAGATGTATTTCATTAGCAGATCAACACCATTCTTATCCAGGGACTGGACTGCCTTCTCGATATCGTTGGCTTTGAATGAGATGAGGACCTTCAGGACAATACTTTCTGCACGATCCTGTCAATAGGTAAGAAAGGCAGCGAGACTTATTCTTGTATAAGATGCAAAATAATACATTTGAGTAGAGCAGTTTGTACACAAATCTTATAATACTTTCTCTATTTAATAATTGTCTTTCAATGCTAAATAGTGTAATGAAGTTGTGAGTTTGCTCTGCTCTACGTTTCTCTGCCTCTCTGCTTGTTGCAATTTTTCATCCATTAAATGAGGTTAGGACTAAATACTAACTTGCATATTGAAATTCAAGTTCTGACAAGCTCCAAAAAAGGTAAGGATTGAGTACTTGGCTGGCCTTATTTGTTACCAGAGCTTTTCCCATATCTTTGCCCTGTTTAACGAGACACAAATATTATATTCCACGGAAGTGGCACTGGCCAAGCTGGAAGGAAAAACTGCTGTAAGCCACATGCTTTCAGGAAAATCAGCTCCTGTCCTAGGTGCAGAGGACACAGTCTGGCAGCATTAACAATATTATGCATTAATGACCATTTGCAAGTCAGTGTGGATGTCATTTCAGGTCCAGGAGTTTGTGTGGCATGATTACAGCCCTAGATTAGCCACGCAATCAGCAGAAAGTGACTGTTCCTGTTCATCCATCACTAACTGAGGGAGGATGAAAGAGAAGAGGTCTGAAGCTTGTTAGAGTTCTAAATAATTCCATTATACAAATACTTCCAGCAGCTTACTCTTGCATTATAGATGCTTAGTTTCCTTATTTCAAGTTTCACAGTCACTTGACTTAGTGAGACTTCTCACATGAAAAGCTCTGAGCAAAGCTTAAGTCACATAAGGATGACCAAATGTTTAGTGAAACACAAAAAGTCAGCTGCTCTGCCCTCTCCAGTTGCACTACCTTTGCACTGTATTGTTAAGAACTTCAGTACAGATCTAACAGAAACAAGTCATTCATCTGAAGATAAAGCTGGTTGTGCTTTTAGACAGTGTCTGCAACAAACACCAGCTGGTTCTCTGTGAAATGCCTTGGGAAGGGGCTTGGGGAAGATCCTCTACCAGGGGTCTGCTGAGGACAGTCTGGTGTCAGAGCAGCAGAGCACAGAGCTGTGAGGCTCTGCTCAGCACCTCCTCCCATCTGCTTCTTCCTCTCGCCACTGCAATCACGAATGACTCAAGGCTCATTCTGGGGAGATACAGAACTACGTGCAAGCAGCACTCTCCTGCGTTCTGTCAGAGGGGAAGTGCACGTGATTGCTGAGGTTCCAACGGCTTAATTTTGATTGGCTGCAATAACCACCAGTTCTTCCTTTTTTGTAGGCCCAGGTCTAGCTGTGCTAGCCGTTTCCTCAGTCGCTGCTGGCTGCGGTTCTGCAGCCGTTTGGTGCTGAGCTGGGGAAGCTGCCCTGAGGAGCGTGACCTGCAGCAGGGGCGAGCTGTGATGTGCCAGACCCACCCAGGCACAGCACGTACAGCTGAGGGGCAGCCAGCTAAAGGTGCACCAGGCTGTGAGCAGCTGATGGAGCTGTGGGTGCCCCCCGTTCACTGCACGGGAGTTGGACCGGGAGGCCTTTAAAGGTCTCCTCCAACTCAAAGCATTCTATAAAGGCACGCAGACATCCGAGCTGCGGTTTTTAGACCAGGACAGAGATGGGGGATGTCGGGACACGTCCCAGCGCCCGGCTTTCTGCAGACGCGGACAGGAAGGCACGCTTACGGAAGCGCCGGGCTCACCTTCACGGCCTGGTTCTTCGTGTTGATGGGCGGATTCTTCAGAGCCGCCTGCAGCGCGGCCATCATGTTCCCTGTGCCGGGCGTTAAGGAGCAGCAGCGGCAGCGCTCCCTCAGCACCCGCCCGGCTTCGGGGGCGGCCCGTCGAGGATCGCACCGCCTCGCCCCGCTCAGCCGCCCGGTTCCCGTCGGCCGGCCCGCCATCGTTTCCTCCCCCACCCCTCCTCTCGCCCCGTGACGGAAGGATATTGCCTGAGGCACGAATCCACCTCGCCTTCGTCGGGTCCCGCTTGCCCGTCGCCTCCGTCCTCCTCGTCCACGAACTTGTTCTCGTCGTACTCGTCCACATCCACCCGGCGGAAGCGGGCGGACGACACGGTGTGCTTGGCCATGGCCGCCCGCTCGCCTCCGCGCTCTGCCGCCCCGCCCGTCCCCGGGCGCAGGCGCCTACCGCCGGCCGCACTGCGCAGGCGCGCTGCGGGGCCCGCTCTAGCGACGCGAGAAGACAGCCCGGGGTGAGGCGAGCGGCCATTGCTCAGCCCCGCGCGCTCTTCCCGCCGCCCGCGCGCCGTTTCTGTGGTGACGGGGCGGCGCCGCTCCCTCAGCCGTGGGAGGAGCGCTGCTTTGATACCCGCAGCGCCCTGGGCGGCTCCTGCCACTGCGTCACCGCTCCTCGTACCCAACCTGAACCTCCCTCGGTGCAGCTTCAGGCCATCGCCTCTTACCCTGTCGCTGTTACCGGGAGCAGGGGCTGACCCTACCTCACCGCAGCCTCCTTTCACGCAGTGCGAAAATGCAATGAAGCCTCCCCTGAGCTCCTCTCCTGCGTGCTGCCCCGTCCCGTTCCCTCAGCGGCTCCCCATCACACCCCGCACAGCTCCCTGCCATTCTCTGCACGCATTCCGGAAGCTCGGTGTCATCCTTGCCCAGAACTGAACACAGCACTCGTACCGTTAGTACCGACTGTACCGTACAGTCAATTAATTTTCAAGTTCCACAGTTGTAACCTGCATTAACATTAATCAGAAGCAATATCGGGGTGGATTTTTTGGCTGCTTGTGTTCTTGGTTTTACAGCCTGGAGGTGGTTCGGGTTCTGTCACCTTTGCTGTTGGTTCCTGCTGGACATCACCGCTTCAGGATTACAACTTTCATTAATAAACTCCTTTGGTATTTTTAAATGCCTTACAATATTTATAGGCCTGGGGTGGAGACGTTCCCTCTGGGAGGGCAGAAACAAGCCTGGAAAAAGCACCGAGTGTCTTTGAGACAGGGGATGTGGCAGACTGCCCTTTGTCACTGGTAAAGGCTGCTGGAAGGCAGGGCGAGAAAAAGCCTTTGGGTTTTGCTGCATAGCAGGCTCTCCATGTGTTGCTTGTGGAAATGCTGTCCTACAGTAGGTTTTCACTCCTTTGAAGTTGTTAATTTGGTGTGGATTCTGTCCATCTGATACGGTTCCTGACGGTAAAGCCGCATGCTGAAGCGTTGACCCTGGGATGCCATACACGAAGTTGGAGAGGAGGTGACACCAAGTCCCCATGGGCAGCGGTTGCAGTGTGACCCATGGCCACAGGCTGGCCAGGCTGCGCAAGGCTCGGCGGTTCCACGCGGCCGTGGGGAAGCTGTCCTCAACGTGGTAAGGCTGGGAGAAGTAGAGGCAGAGCCTGGTTTCTGAGTGCTTCAGCAAGAAGTTGTAGATTTTACTTATGCAGCAGTGGTAAGCCTCATTACAAGGAGAGTAATTTGAATAGACTGTGATGCAGTCAGTGTTTCCATAGGCATGTATCACTGCATCCAGATAACCGTCTGCCTCAAACAGCATGGATTCCGGGTGGTTGCCCTGCTCAGCACAGCTGCTGGTGTGGCCTTTTTGGACTACAGTGCCAGAGAAGCTCCTCAGTTCGTAGAAGAGAAGGTGGTGGGTTTGTGGATGTGCTGTGCTTCTGCATGGGAATCCAAAAGCCCTCAGAAACTCTGTGTAAGGAACTCTTGCTTCTTCACCTGTCCGTATGTGATAGGGACACTTAGCACAGGTTTGGCTCTGTGTCTGCCAGCGGTAGGGCTTTACCACAGTCCCCTGGTTTGTGAGATATTCTTGGAAAATTTTCTCTCCTGGGTTCATGTTCTGTTAGAATTCTCCCTGCTTATGTGCTGTAGAGCTAACAGTCCTGGATAAAAAAAGTGAAAATAGTATTGCAATTTAATCCTTTGATTGCTTTTCCACATAAACTGCAAAAATACTAGTAGATAGCCACTTCCAAAATGTATTGAAACTCATAACCCGGATTGGAATGTTGATCCACAACGCAGAGAACAAAGCTTTCTTGCTGCCTGAAAGCCATTCTGAGTTTACAAACCAGCCTTTTTGCTAAAAACATGAGGCAAAAATATTTATCTGGCTTCTGCCCTTTTTTCCCCAGACAGGAGAGGCTGCATGGTGAAAACAGCCCTACTTTTCCAGAGTTAGCAGGTGAGTTTTTTGCAATCTGGCAGAACGAACAAATAAATACCAACCAAAGGAAAAAGAATAAAGCTATAATTACCATCTCAGCAGCTCCAGCTCAGGGCTGTAGTAAAAATCTTATGGTAAATATCTTATTTCCTTCACTGGCTTTTTAAGATGATGGTTCAGAGTTTCCACACCAGTGAATATTGCAAGCTTTCTTGTCCAAGCTGCTTGATGAAAAAGAAAGTCACTGCTTCTTGCTGTGGTATGGCAGCTCAGCTGCAGAAGGGTCTTTCCCAAAGGTGGTGCCTTTGCTCCACTTGTGCTAGGGACAGCAGGCAGGTTCCTTTGGCTGTGTGCAGGTGCCCGGTGCTAGGAGATGGGAATACAAACAGGATTTTCTTTCCTACCTCCAGCCACCTGCGGTGGTTAAGCTGCTGTTCTTTGCCTGTCAAGATCTGTTTCCCGCTTCAGAAAGCTTCCTTTGTTTCTTTAGTGCTGCTTTGATATAAGATTTTTACAGCTGCGGGATGGATGTTTTTCTAATGAATGTGTTACTAAATTCGATTCTAGGTCACTTATTTCTGTGTGTTCCTGCCTGTTGTGCCAGGTGAGCAGAGAGCTCCTGTTTTACTTCTGCTTTCATTTGAAGGCAGCAGTGTTGCCCCTTCATTTTTGCCCTGTAACTGAAGCAAACAGCAGGCCGTTCCGTGAGCAAGGTGTTTCCTTTGCGTGGGCAGAGCTCCATGTGTGTGCAGATGTGAATGTTGTGAGGATGGGCAGCTTCTGAGGCAGATGATTGATTTTCCTCCCTGCCACTTGAACTGAGTCACTCACCATCCCTGGATTCAGTTTAATTCTGTCACTACTTTTCTGGATTTACATTTTTTTCCATCTGCATATTTTATTTATTACAGCTTGCTTCTGCATTCCACGCTGTGTTGTCCTCTGTCACTATTTCATTTTCTTCTTAAATTACTAATGATTCATTTGCTTTGTTTTCCACTCCTGACTCCACGCCAACAGCCATCTGCTTTCCTGTGTTGGGGCTCTTTCCTGATCTGGGCCATTGTTCTGTTTTTATTCAGATTACTTCTAAAGATTGGCTTCCTGACATCAAGAGTGCTGCATTTGTCATTGTTGATGTTTCTATACAATTTTTGATGCCCATGATGACTGTGCACTGCAGTGTATTCATGGCAAGGGTGAGCATATCCAGAAAATTAAAAAAGTGTGTTTGCTGCCTAACATTTGTTCAGAGGAGGGCCACAGAAATGACCCAAGGGATGGAACGCCTCCCTGTGAGGACAGGCTGAGAGCCAGGGCTGTGCAGCATGGGGAGGAGAAGGCTCTGGGGAGGTCTGAGAGCAGCCTGTCAGTATCTCAAAGAGGGGCTGTAAGAAAGGAGGGATAAACACTTCAGCAGGGTCTGTTGTGTTGCAGGAGGCAATGCAACACTGTTGTGATAGGACAAGGGGAAAGGGTTTCAAACTATAGGAGGGGAGGTTTAGACTGGATATAAGGAAGAAGCTTTTTTGATAAGGGCTGTGAGGCAGTGGCATGGGCTGCCCAGAGAGGTGTGGGTGCCCCATCCCTGCAGACACCAAAGTCAGGCTGGATGGGCCATGAGCACTGATGGAGCTGTGGGTGTCCCTGCTCAGTGCCGGGGAGGTTGGGGCAGATGGCCTTTGAAAGACCCTTCCAGCTCAAACGATTCTATGATTCCATGATACAAAGAGCAGGACTGAAGAAAGGAATGTTTTTCGTCGTGGAGGGGCGTTACGAGACCACCTCTGCAGCTTATCTGGAGGTCGCCTCCCTTCAAAAAGCTGCGCGGCTCTGGTAAGGCTTCCGTTCCCTGTCCCTGCCGGCGGAGCTGGGTGGCCGCACGGTGGCAATGTTGCCCACCAGAGGTGGATCAAACTTAGGGCTTGTTGACTCCGTTTCATTGCGTTTAAAGGAATGCCACCAGAGAGACCTAAAATATTACATCTCTCTCTATTACTTGGTGATTTGGCCAGATCCTAGCAAGCTTTCCATCTTTCTCCTAATAGCGCTGAATCCTTACCCAGTGGCAGTCAGATCCCACAGTACCCCATTTGCTAGGTTGGTTGGGACGGTGCTGGCAGGACCGAGTGCATTCCTGTGTAAACTGCAGCTCACAAATCATTTTAACTGATGGATGGATGCCCGTGCGTGTGGATGTGTGTGTACATACATGTGCATGTGCATTAAGCAGCTAATGGGAGCACACGTCACTCAGCTGTCATGCAGAAAAAAATGCTGTTTCCACTCACAAATATATTTAAAAATATTGAATGGTTCTTTAGCATTAGTCATCTTCTAAATAGTTTATAAATCTGACCAAAAGGTTAAAATACAGGCTGGTGCAAATGGCTTTCTCTGTGGTATTTCTGCTGTTTAGCGTTACTTAGATCTTGTGCAGGAGAAACTGTGTAAGTGGCTCAGCGATCCTGATGTATCTGCAGAAGTAGGAGGTGCTGCAGTTCATAGTTTAGATAAGTTTGAAATTTGAAATTGACGTGGTTTCAGGCTGGGAAATAAAAAATGCAGGTACTCCAAACAACCCCTGCCTTTTAGGAGCTCTTGACTTCAGAGTTTGCAGCCCTTAGTTCTGTGAAAGAGGAATTTTGCCTGCTCTCTGTCTTATTTTGCTCTGTCGTTGTTTCTGAGATGGCTTTCCCAGTGCTTCCCTGCACGTGCACAGCCAATAGGCTGTTCCACGTTCTCAGAAGGAATGCTACATTTTAAACATTTAACCATAAGTCAGGCTGATAGGAGAAGTACCGTCTCCATCTATCAGTGTAATTGCCATGACCTGATGCAGAGGATCCTGTGGAGTGGATACAACCAGGAACTCAAAACATATGTTAAGGAATGAAAGACACCCCTGTCTCCTCCAGAAACGTAACAGGGGGAGATAAGGATATAATTATCATTAAAAAAAGTAGTTTCACTTATTACTAAAACACAGCCGTCTCTGGGGCAGAGGGCAGTAGCTGTTTAATAGTGCTCCACAACGCAGCATAAGCATTCACAGGAGGAACCAGAGAGGAATGCTGTATCCAGTTAAAATCACAGGGGAAACTTACGTGGTCAGAATGTAATTACTGAGGTTGGAAGTTAGCCAGGAGACAAGCCATATGTTCTGCTCCTAGGGAAAAAAGGCGCAACGAGGGCCCTGCTATTTTTTTGTCCAAATATTGGCTAAAACCTGGGATTGCTTTGATATACAGAGATGCTGATCCATCCCAGTGCGGGCAGCTTGGAATTCAGTGATCATTTACTGGTGTAACCATTGTAAACTTGGGATTCTTTGATTTATGAAGATGTCTTCTGGAAGCAAAGTCGCACGCATTGATTCAAGACTAAATCAGGATTAGGCCAAAGCTATTTTTCTGGAGTGTGATTATATGGAAGTATGAGCATTTTTTTCTTCAATGACTGAAACATGCTCTACTTCCATAGTCTCACACCAACGTCGTTCTGTTTCTGTGGGGGATCTGCTGCTTCCCCCCCTGGCACTGCACTCCTGTACGAGAACGGTTCCTTTTTTTGTTGCTGAAATACGAGTGTTGAAATTCTGTAGCACTTCTTAGTACAGTTTGGTTCAAAATAATCTCTGTTGGAAGCATTTCACACATGACTTCATTCAGTAAGAAGTTTATCTGAGTTCAAAGTACAGAGGAGTCACATGGCCCTTACCCAGCCAGGGCCTTGAAGTTCTTCTGCAGTCGTAGGATTTTAAAAACTAGGGGCAAAGCCAGCGAGGGTCTGGGGCACAAAAGCGACAGGGCTGCATATGCTTTGCCTATTTAGGATTTGGAACTAGTAATCCTGCAAAAGCAGCAAAAAAAAGAAGAGGAGAAAGATGTATTTTGTACCAGAAGTGTTTAAGAAAGGAAAAAAAAAAAACTTTCTGCTTCTTGTCGAGAGTGTTGTTGATTTGTTGGGTACCAGAGCAGTACATGTTATCAACTTACTGCAAAATCATTCTTTGTAGCTGAAAGTCACCTACTGTGTGCATGAACTTTGGAAGGGATGAATGTTGTGTTGAAGATGTGCGTTGGATGTGTTGGGAAATGTAAGCTAGTGAGAGCTGAATGGTGTGACTGCAGAGTTGTGGTGCCTGGGAATGTGACGTGCTGAGGGCTGGCTGGAAGTGATGCGTTTCAGTTTTGTTGTTCCCAGTTTTGCTCCATTAGGGGAACTGAAAATTAGATCCCCTTGTTCTACCAAGTCTACATATGTGATCAAATTAACAAATGTGAGGGCTTCTGCTGATGGCACTGGCACTGTTTATGTGCATGAAGTTAAGCAGATGTGTAAATCTTTGCAGGGTACAGGGCTAGAACAGTAACAGCTGCCAAAGATGATTTAGTTATTGTAGGAAGGAATGTACTGGCTGCTCTGCTTTTCCTATCACAACAGAGTCTGTCCCCTTTAGATACTGGAAGGCCGCTCTCAGGTGTCACTGGAGCCTTCTCTTCTCCGTGCTGAACAGTCCCAGCTCTCTGATGTCAGAAAAAAAGATGTTGAATGACTCCATATGCCATGATTCTCAAATAAATTAGGACCCAAATTTACACTGTTATGATGTCCAACCTTCAGCAGTTCCTGAGCCTGGGGTGAAAGTTCAGCCACTTTTACTGGAATAAAGTGTCATCTGCCTTCGTTTACCAACTCTTTCAAACCTTGAAAGACTTTTCAAAACTGGCAGAAGTGAAAAACACTGAAATTCTTTGGAGTAACCTGATTCTGTGAGCTGGATTCCTGTCTCAAGGGCTAAGTATGAGTTTTGCAAGCAAAAGGTTGTCATCTGTAGTTCATATTTGTTCATATGGCTCTCTTTCAGGTAGAACAACGTTCTTCAACCACATCCAGGAACAACCATAGTATATCTTACGTTGGAAAGGGCCCTCAAGGGTGATCGAGTCCCGCTCCTGGCTTAGAGAACACTGAAGTGCCTAAGGTAATTCTGCCTTGTTTGGGTGGCTTATACTGACATGTTTCTTCCTGTGCATCACTGATTGTCTCATCGCTTACTTCTGCTTTGGCTTCATCTGCAGCAGTGCAAGGGGTCTGGTGCTCTAAATCACCACTATCTCAGAAAAACTCACAGTTTTGACTGGATTTGGTAGAGTTCTTGCTCATGACAGTGTCATTACTGGTTTTCTGTTGTGAAGAGGAATTATTGAAGAGGAATTTTAAGGACCCTGAACTTGCTTCCTCTTCTGCCAACACAGGTGGGAGCAGGGATGGCATCCATGTTGGTAAGATTTGCATGGATGGATGAGGTGCCCGATCCTGCAGTGCGCAGCTCAATACTATACCCTGGTCTTGTGCCTCCTGCTTCTCTGGGTTTCCAGTCCTCCTTCTCTCATATAATTTTCTCTTCCTGGCAAGGTCGTGCTCCTCTTAACCTGTCCAAGGCTTTTGGAGTTCTTTAGCTTTCAAATAAATCTTGTTGTTTTCTGAAGAATGCTGATCCACAATATCCTTCCGTCATCATCTTCTGACTTTAGCTTTCAGTCTTCCTCTTTTCAAAGAAATCCTTTTTTGTAGCTTCTTCCTGGAATCTAGCTTCAGAGTCCTTTCCTAAATCTTCAGGGTGGCAGTCCTGGGACCTTTCTTGTCCCCTTCCTCAGGCCTTGGTCAATAATTTCTTCTGGTGGCTTCTTCCAACCCTCTGCAGGAAGGCCTTTTTCATATGTATGTATGCTGTCTGGCTCTTACTTCGTTGGCTTTCTCTGCAGGCAAGGGACAGGTTTTCTCAGCTTTCACTCCTCCTTTCCTGAGGAGGGCATGATTGCACACTCTGACACGGATGGATGATCAGAACCAGACATTTGTGTGCTCAGGTTTCAGGGAGCCGTGTGGGCACAGTAAACAAGAGTTGTTTGCTTTATATTCCTGTCCAGCAATCTCCTTAAAGGCTAAAACACCTTTGGTTTGTGAAGCTCAGAACATACATATGTCGGTCTTTTGTGCTAGAAAATACTGTCCTTGAGTCTTCATTCTCCCAGAGATCATAAAATGGAATCGTAGCATTTGCTGCAAGGAGTTTTGTTAAATTGTGCACAGTTCTTGAAGTGAAGACTGCTGAAGAGGGTGTGATGTTGAAATGGGGGGCAGAGTGGGATCTTGATCTGTTATTTATCACCATCCTAACATCTGACCACCCAAAAAATATTATGGAAAGAATATGAAACTACAGCTTTCACTAGACAGAGATGGGTGGTTCAGGTTTTGATTATTCTTTTTCTCTTGCTTTTTGCTTAAGGATGAATTGCTGAAAGTTTGGTTAGTGGTTTGCCAGTTTTCGGATAACGTTCACTTGTTGCAGTCGGTTATTTCTTTGCTTGCATATGGGAACATTCTGACTCCAAGCTTAAAAGGTGTAACCAACCGCATCATAAAAATGAGAAAATAAGTTTCATTATTAACTGATTAAGAACTCTGTCTGTCAGTTAGTTTCTAATACATATTGAAGAGAAGGAAAAAAGAGACTGCAATTTTCTGGATTAGGCAGAGGTAAAACCAGAGAAAATGAAAGGCAAATTGGGTTTTCTGGCTTTAGAATATTGTCTAAAATAAAGCAGGAAACTCTCGAGACAAGCATAAGCTGTAAGTACCTTAGAGCAGGAAATGCCAGCAGCCCTTCTTCATATTTCATGTTCTCTATGGCATCTTGAGATGCACACCGTCACATCCATTTGAATGGCACTCCTCCTCCTCCTGACACCTGTCTGCAACACTCATTTCAGTGGCCTTCCTTACACTCTTCCTACTCACCTCCCCAAGGAATGGGAGTGCTCTCCTCCTGATAGCTCTCCTCTGGGTGTTGCTCCCATTAGGCTGTAGAAGTGGGCCATCTCCTTAGTCCTGTTTCAAGGAGGCGATGCTGCAACTTTTTGCATTGAAATGCAGACTTGTCTCGTAGCAGCAAGGGGTGCAGAAGGGGAATGACAAATAAGGAGTGTTCCAAGTTTCATAGGGTGACTAGTTTAAACGTTAGGATTGTAAGAAACATAAGGAAAAAGACAGGATTTTGTTTGCTTTTGGTGATTTAAAAAAATAGCTTTCCATTGAGTGTGATCACAGTACAGATCCTAGGCTGATAATTTCTTCCCTATTACTTTATAGACTGTTTCCAGTATGCTGTGATTGTCAAACAGTTGGGCAACTTTCCTCTTAACCTATGAAAAAAAAAAAAAAGTGAACTTGCTAAGAACCTCTATTTGTAGACAGAAGGCCAAACAGAAAATCTAGAGGTGAAAAAAGAAGAGAATTTGTCTTTTTTAAAGTTAGAATATTTCTGAGTTGTGTTCTATTTAGCTGTCACTTTTTTATAGGACTGAAAAATGCAGTAAGGGTATAAGTCTGACTCTAATGAAACACATGAAGCAAACAGAAAGAAGAAATGACTGCAAACAGTGACTGTATGGTACCACAGAATCACAGAATGGCCTGGGTTGGAATGGACCTGAAGGACCATGAATCTCCAACCTCCACATTTAATAGCAGCCTTGAACAGCTCCAGGGATGGACAGGGCATCTACAGCCTCTCTGGGCAGCTGTTCCAGCACCTCACCACTCTCACAGCAAACAACTTCCCCCTCCCTCAACTTCAAACCATTTCCCCTTGTCCTGCTCTTATTTACCCTTTCAAAGAGTTAACTCCCCTTTGCCACATTCCTATTTAAAATGAACATAATCATTGGACTCAAAGAGCCGTTCTTCATTCTTAGAAAGTATCAGTTCAGAAAATTAATTGAGGTTTAGTACCAAATGATCAGCATGACTACAGATTGCTTCAGTGAAGATCAACAGAGCTAGGCTGGTGTCCAGAAGGGCTGGGAAAGTTTTACCAGTACTTGTCCTAAGCATTGTGAGAGAGGCAAAAGTATTCATTTGTACTCTTGCATGACCCATGAGCTGTGTATGTTTAGGAAATTTCCCCAGTATTCTGTCCAATTTGATCTCACTTCCAGCTGTCAACCTAAAGGGCATTTCCTTTGAAATGAATGGAGTTGTGCTGGCAGAAAAGCAGAGTAAAGTTCTGACTACGCCCCGGTGATGGCATGAAGCAGGCAAATCACAGTCAGTCAGTGCAATTAGGGGTGAGTACACCTATCACCTCCCCCTTCCAAACCAGCTGCCAAGGCATTCAGATCAAACAGACTGACAAACACTGATTGTGTATCAACAAGGAGGAGGAGGAGGAGGCCAGAACGAGGTGTTCTTTGGGAATACCCAGTCGTGCCTGTAGGTGTTTTGTCTGGGGGTTTGGGCCTGGGTGTCCCAGTCAGCTGCTGCTGCCCTTGTGACCTTTGGAGTTATTTACAGAATTGGTCAACAGAGAACCGAGAAATAGGACTGTGTGGTGCCTGTTTCCAAATGGTTTGGTGGGGCTCTGTTATTTCGGGCTGGTTGCATCCCTCCCCTAGCCATTAAAGCAGGAGCAGAGTGCAGACAGAGCCGCTGGTTTTTCTCTATTTAGCTGAGCCGTGTTCTTTCAATATGCAGATACGAGCGTAAATAACACGATTCAGAATCTGCTGGTCTCTTGCAGAATAAGACTTTTTATAGTGTAGGAAAATCTGCTTTCAATTTCTATTGTAAGGCGTTATTTTAGTCAATGAAAACAAAGTGTGCTTGGGAGGCTGCCTAGAAGACATGTGATTTCAGGGCATTGCTATTTTCTTTTTGATGAGAAAAGAACTTGCTTTTTTCTTCTATGTCATGGTCGGATAGAGTGATGTATTCAGTGTGGGTGATGGGAATTCATTCCGACTCCTTTGATACGTGTAGGGCAGCTCCACACGGCCACTTCTTGAATGGGGGAAGCTGTTTCTGGAAAAAAAACTGAAGTATTTTATTTAGGCTAACTAAAATTCATGTAAACCACCCGACTTCTGTTAGTTGGGTAAAAATTGCAGTGTGGATCTCATTTCTGGTTATGTACAGTGTTCAAATTAAGCTGGTTTTTATTCAAAATCGTGTAGGAGAGAACAGGGCAATTCCTGGTATAACTGATGGACAATGGGAGGCTGGACATTCATGTTACTTGCACTGCTGATTAGCTTGGAGTACAGCGAAGAAGCAGAAGTGGAAGTGGATGAGAACAAACAGAAATGTGGGAGTATCACTGGCTGTGCAGTGATTCTTATTTACAGCATAAAGGACTTCCTCTCTCTCCATTTTCTACCCCCTTCTCCCTTTTGCCAGTGTTAAACTGAAGAAGAATTGCATGACCTCATTTTGTTTCCTACGTGATTTCTTGACCAAATCTGTTGAGGTTTCCTGTGTTCTCAGCATGGTGTCTTGTTTAGTGGTAGTAGGCGAACCTCAAAAGGTTCAGATTGCAGATGCAGATCAGATAAGCAATGAAATTATTTATTCAAATTAAGCCTCAAGGGTCTGCAGTCTCATCCTTCCTGCTCCTAGTTATGTTGAAAATGTCTCAAAGCCTCTCTCTGATATTTCTGTCCAGATATCCCAGACACTGTGTGGTGTAATGTTTGTGCTATTTTAGAGTAATAAACCTGTGGGTGAGAAATGTCTTTTTAATTTTTTCTTTCTTTGGAATTTGACTATTTCCAAAGTATCCATGCCTGTTCTGCTACAAGACCCTTGTTGCAGGACTTCTAAAACACTTTTACAAATACCAATGGAATGGGCTGTACACTTCTCTGAGCTACAACTACAAAGTCACAATAAAACTCTTTTTCTGTTCACTGTTCAGAGCGACAAACTGAGGTACAGGTGAGTTACTGACTGAGCCAGGAAAGAATCCAGATTCTTCCAGGTTTGTGTTAGCAGCAAGGCTAACTTTCCTCACAACAGCAGTTTCTTCACTGCCCCAGTGCTTGTGTGTGCCAGCTGTTCCCATTCCAAGCCAGATGTAAATATTATGATGTAGCCTTCTCACATTCCCCTAGATTTGACCCCTAGAGAAATACATCAGAG